GGCGGCGGCGGCGGCTCCAGGGCCCCCCCGGAAGAGTTGTCCATGTTCCAGCTGCCCACCCTCAACTTCTCGCCGGAGCAGGTGGCCAGCGTCTGTGAGACGCTGGAGGAGACGGGCGACATCGAGCGGCTGGGCCGCTTCCTCTGGTCGCTGCCCGTGGCCCCCGGGGCGTGCGAGGCCATCAACAAACACGAGTCGATCCTGCGCGCGCGCGCCGTGGTCGCCTTCCACACGGGCAACTTCCGAGACCTCTACCACATCCTCGAGAACCACAAGTTCACCAAGGAGTCTCACGGCAAGCTGCAGGCCATGTGGCTCGAGGCGCACTACCAGGAGGCCGAGAAGCTGCGCGGCCGCCCACTCGGCCCGGTGGACAAGTACCGCGTGCGCAAGAAGTTCCCGCTGCCACGCACCATCTGGGACGGCGAGCAGAAGACGCATTGCTTCAAGGAGCGGACTCGGAGCCTGCTGCGGGAGTGGTACCTGCAGGACCCCTACCCCAACCCCAGCAAGAAACGCGAACTGGCGCAGGCCACCGGCCTCACTCCCACACAAGTAGGCAACTGGTTTAAGAACCGGCGGCAGCGCGACCGCGCCGCGGCGGCCAAGAACAGGTTAGTGGCGGGGCCCGCGGCCTGGCTACAGCCTCAAAGGCCTGGGAAGGGGAGAGGGGTTGAGAAGGGGTTAGCGGAGCGGCCGCTGAGCGTCAGGGAAGCCGTGACTCCTGGCCAGTTGGAGAAAGTTTCCGCTTGTCCTGGGCGCGCGGAAGAGGGGGCGGGCGGGCTGTGGGTGTATTGATTGCTTTGACCAAGAGGGGCTTTCGTCAGGGCAGGGAGTGTGTGCTTGCGACCCGAGTGCCCGCAGCCCCTGATCCCGGCCCCTGGGAGCCTTAGCCCTGCGCTGCACCCGTGCCTGCCTCCTCAGCCCTGTCGCCAGCTCGGCAATCCTCTGGAGCCTGGAGACAGGGAGGGAAGGAAAGCACTCCTTGCCATCTGGTTCTTATTTCTGTGCATTGCAAAACCCCGAGAGAAATCCAGGAGCGTCAGAGAGAGGAAAGTTAACCTGGGTCCCTATCACAAGGGGAAAAGGCCGGAGGCCACTGCACAGCGGGCCTGTTTCCCGCAACGCTGCACTTTGCCTAACCGGGAGCAGGAGAGCCAGGCTGGGAGCGGAGAGGCCTAGTGTGTGTGCGTGTGCATGTGTGTGTGCACGCGCGTGTGCATGTACTCACCCTCCTGCCCCAGCCACGGAGAATGCCTTTGGTCCTCTAAGTTGGGAAGCGGGCAGGAGCAGCCTCGTTGCTGGCAAGTTGGCCACAAAGTCACAAAATTGTATAGGGCTTGACCAACATCACAGGAGTTGGGCCTGGGGGAAGGAGAAAAAGAACCAGAGGGAAAGAAGTGAATAGGGGAAAGGAGTGGGGAGAGAAGGGAGAAGGAAGAGAGGAACTTGGGTGAAAGCCCTGATGTGGAGCCTGTGTCTCTATCCAGCCAGGAAGGCCCAGGGCCTGGTGTACCTCAGGGAGCAGGACCCCCAGCTGCTGACAGCTGCCTGTGGGTGGGGGGTGGGTGTGAGTTTCTGGAGGTGTGTTCGAGTTTAAGCGGCCGGGACCTGAGCCCATGGCCCTCTCACCCCTGCTGTGGAGCTCACTTTTCGTCTGATGAGGGGAGCGCCCAGGGTCAAGCCAAGGCCTCCTTGTGGAGAGAATTCCAGACACCAGGTCCAGGCAGAAGGTTCCCGGTGGAGGAAAGGGGCAGCTGGAGACTGCTCTGTGCTCCTCTCTTGCCTTCTCTTTTGCCCCTTTGCTGTCTCCCTGCTCTTTCCCCACTTTTCCACCGCCAGCTTTCCTATTTTCTCTACCCTCGGTCCTGCGCTCTGCGCTGGGATCCAGAGAGCAAAGTATGCGGTTCTACCCGGAGCCGGGCCGGCCAGTGAGGAACCCGCAGCTCCGGGTGTGTGTTTGAGGGATCAGGGACGGGGTTACTGAGGGAACTCGACCGGTCGCGGGGTAGCCGGCTCAGTGTGAAGAGCCCCAGGGACTGCGGAGGGAAGAAGCGCCTGGCTCTCCTCCGACTTCTGCTGCTCCGGGGCTTGCAGTATTTTGCCGCTTGCACCCAGGCCTCCCCAGACGGCCGGGCTCGGGTTCTGCCTCTCCTCGGAGGCCAGTCTCTATCTGAGAAGACTTGGGACGCTCCCGAAAGCGGAGTCGGGAGCGGCGGCGCGGGGGAGCCGGGTGGCGGGCCTCTGTGTCAGGGCGGGCGCGGCTCTCTTTCTCCCGCAGGCTCCAGCACCAGGCCATTGGACCGAGCGGCATGCGCTCGCTGGCCGAGCCCGGCTGCCCCACGCACGGCTCGGCAGAGTCGCCGTCCACGGCGGCCAGCCCGACCACCAGCGTGTCCAGCCTGACGGAGCGCGCGGACACCGGCACCTCCATCCTCTCGGTAACCTCCAGCGACTCGGAATGTGATGTATGATAGCCAAGGCCGCCCTCCTCCCCCTCCTTCCCCTCCTCCCCCACTCCTTCCCCTCCTCCTCCTAGCCCTCCTCCTCTTCCTCCTCTTCCTTCTCCTCCTCCATCCCCAGAACAAACCGAAATCAGGATACCCAACCATACACACATACAAGTCCACACACACTCCCACCCCAGCCAAAAATATATAAAAAAACAAGAAAATAACAAATTAACCACAAACTATCAACAACCCCCAACCACCATCTACCACTACGGCCACCCCAAAGGACCCCGACGCCAACAGACAGTCAAACGCTGATGTTGCGGGCAGACAACATAAAAGAGGTGACAATTGTATACTTTCTAGGACAAGCACGGCTTCTCCTTTCGGTTCCCATGGACCCGGCACCCCACCTGCATGACGATTTATTTGTATCTGGGAAAATATTCTCTCTAGTTAAAAATGATTTAAAGAGTCGACTATACAAAAACCAATCACCACCACGAGGACAAGAGGACAAAAGCAAAACAGACAAAAAGAAAAAAAAATCGCCATCTCCGTTCCGAATTTGTTAAAAAAAAAAAAAAAGAGCGGGGGGGGAAGAACTCCTGGAGAGGGAAATAGCAAATGTTTCTCGCCTTTTGTTGCTCTCTCTCTCTTTTTTTCTCTCACTCTCTTTCTTTCTCTTCCTCTCTCTGTTTTTAAGTCCAAGTATTGGTCAAACAAAATGCAATCTTCTGTTTTTTGTTCAGCAGACAATCATTTTCTTCGTAAGCACCTTTTTCTCTCCACTCTGTCACTGCCTGTGTGGGTACTGGTTATAAATGTGGAAAAAGAATAGTTATGACTGTAACAGATTTTTATTTTTATTTCAAAATTTTATATGAATTATGTATATCTTAATGATCGGTCATTTTCCCAGTTTGTAATATATGTGTAGAAATTGCCTGTATATGATATTGCTTTTTTCTCCTCTCCCTTTCTCTTTCTCTCTTGTCCCTCTCTCTGTCTTCCTCCCTGCTCACCTGTCTCTTTTCTTTTTGGGATTCTCCTCCCACTCAGTGCTCCTGGTGTCGTCTTGGCAGTCAAGAAGAGGCATGGTGGCCTGGGTTAGGAAGAGGGACCCCATCGCTAGCAAAAGCGGAGAGTGAGATTGTAGTATTCTTATGCAAAAGCTATTTCCAGTATTTCTTAGCAGCTTCAGAGGTATCTCTCACTCCCTGTAGGGCGCTTTTACTGTTATCTTAAACTGCGTGTTTATCTATATGTAAAAACTTTCTAAAGCAAATACAGTATTCTCCATTTTCTTATCACTCCCAGAGACTGGTGTTTTTGTCCGCCCCTGGCCCGTAGCCGCGGGGTGCTCGGCCTTCACTTCCACTGCTGCTCACCTGAGCTGGGGCAGAATTTCAAGGCTGGATCTCAGCCTTTTTTTTTTTTTTTCTTCCCCCGAGGGCATTGGGAAGATCAGAACAGACCCTCCGGAAAGGAGCCAAAGCTGGATCCTGAGCAAAAAAGCAAAGAGGGTTCGAGGGTTGGGAGCGGGAGGCTACCGCCAGCTTCTTCAGAGTGAGATGCCAGACTCACTTCACGGCAGTATGCATTCAGCCGGAATTGTAGCCTGCCAAGACCCTGTGGGTCTTTGGGGGTGTGCTGGGCGTCTTTCAGTTGTTGTTGCTTTGTTTTTTAAAAGAAGAAACATACAAGGTCGCCAAACCCCAGCATCCATCCCGAGTAGAGCTGACAGGTTTTGTCGTCTTTTTTGGGGGTGGGGTGGGGGCGGGGGACAGTGGCCTGAGTGGGGAAGGCAGGAGGAGTGAGGGAAGAGGCCTCTTGAGAGTTTAGGGCCTGGAATCAGGATGGACTCCCCTCCTTACCTCCTGAGTGTGTGTCTATGTGACAGTGTGATTTGCCTTACGACTCTCTGTCTCCCTGAAATTTCCTTCCATCTTTGGGGTTCAGCTGGAACCTCTTGAGCCCCTAAGACATTTCAGAGTTGGTTTACATTTTAAAATGAAAACCAAAAAATCACCACCTCTTACTAACCATGTTCCCACTGGCCCCAGGCCTCCAAGCCCTGGGCAGGGCCCCCACAATTCCCTGGGATGGCTTGGCTGGCCGTGCCTCTGCCGCTCTGGGCCAGGGTGGCCTGCACCCAAGGAGGAGCAAAAGAGGTAATTTCAGAAAACTTGCCTTTACTTGAAAGGCCAATTTCCAAAGCATGGAGGATTAGGGGGGAAACGTGCCTGGAATTTTGCATCCATTTCCAAACTAATTTTGACTTCCGATTTCCTTTTGTCCCCATCCCCAGCAGCGCCAGGGGGTTTAGGAGGGCCAGGCTGGGCAGAGAGGCTGTCTGGCCCAGAGGTGCCCTGAGTGTTCCAGTGGGACCTTGCATGTCCGGGGCGTGCATTTGGCAGACAGGGAAGGTTCCTGAGCGCGCCCCTACTTAGAACCAGAGCATCCAGCTGACCTTCAGAGCTCCCAAGTTCTGTGGCCTGGCACATGGTGTCAGAATCTCTGTGTGTATTCACTGCTTGGGAAAATGTTCCTTGTCCTGCCACATTTCAGGCAATATTGACCCAGGTGGTAGGAATTTGGGAAAAGGACTGTCTGGATTCTACCCAACTTGAGCCTCTGTTCTGGGATGAGGAGCTCTGTCACCCACCTTTGCTTTTAGATAATCAGTCACATACTTCACACAGAGCTTGGGCCTAGAAGCCCAAAGAAGTGCCTGCCTCAGTGGGGAGAGTCTGGATGGACCTTGCTCAGCCAACTGACCAGAACTGACGGATGAAAGGCAAGAAGTGGCACTGCTGGAGGGTGACTCCTGGAAGGGCCTGCCTAGATAGAGGACATCAGGGAGCAGGTGCCTCTTTGTCTAAGGGACAGGAGACAAGCATGGAAGTTAAGATGATTTCCTATCTCAACACATAGTGCAGAGAAAGCAGATTTGGGACATCCAGTGCCCACTCCTTCTGCATTGCAGGAAACTGTCCATCAGACTCCACAGCAGCCTTTAGTTTGGAGGGCCTGGGCCTTACTGCATGTCAGCAGCCTGTTGTCTGTCTATCCTGCTATCTATCATGTATCACACTCTCATCTCCTGTGTTTCCGTCCAGGTCTGCACGAATACCAATACTCTATGCTTTGTACTTTCTGACCTTGCATATAGGTTCCCTGCAGGAAAGATGTGTGTGTGTTGTGGGTGTGTATATGTGTGCAATTCTGGATGCTGGGCTTTCAACACTCAGTCAAGGTCTGCATACAAAAGGATATGTGTGTGTGATGTTTGGTATAAATGTGTGTACAGTGCATTGGTGTGTGTCCAGTATGTTTTCATGCATATTGCATAACATAGGTATTGGTGTATGGCTTAGGCAGTTTCCCTGTCCTTATTTCTGCAAGGAGTGCATATTGGGGGGCTCCAATACACCTACAGGGTACTTGGGCATGTGTCTTGTGGGTCTTGGTTCTAGTGTAGACATATGTGGGTTCCCTTGTTCTAGGCTCTCCTTCGATATGACTGCCAGGCTGCCCACCTGTAACAGGCCTTCCTGTCCCTTTAAGACACAAGGGATCTCAATGGGTATTCATCAGCTGGAGGGCAGAGGGGCATTGGGCTCTTTGGCTATCCCAGTCCATCCTTTATTCTGTTTGATTTACTGGGGATATTATGGTTGATTTGGCCTCTGCTCCTTTAAACATTGGAGTGAGAGAATAGAGGCCCCTTTCTGGCCAGATCTTGCCTTTTACCAGCTGCTGGCCTAGTCTCTTTCTGGGTCCCTCAAAGCCCTGGCCAAAGCGGTCAACACCCTACAGGCCACTCAGAGCTTGAGGGCAAGGCCAGGCTGAAGTTCCACCTGCAGAAAAGCCATCTCAGTCACTGTGCACAGCCCCCACCTCCTGGGAATGTCGCCGGTTGTGCCTCGGCCAGGAGAATGTGTGCATTGGTGTGTGCTCTCTCGTAGGTCTTGTGAGCCTGGGTCAGGCCCAATATGCAGGCCTAAGTGCTAACCATCTGTCCCCTATGTCTGGGCCATGCAGCAGCCAGTAGGCTGGCTTCTCTGCTTCTGGCCTTCCAGTGAGTCCTCACCCACTACCCTGCACGCAGCACACTTCTGCCTGGCATCCCAGTGGAGTGCTCTGGCTCGGAGCCTCCCTGCGTGCTTAAGCCTCCTGTGTACCTGAGTCACCTACCCTAAGTTTCGAGAGGCTTGAGGAATAATAGCTAACTTGGCTGTTTTCTCAAAGAAAAATAATGACAATCCAGGATTTGCATTGGAAACCTGAACAGGCAGAATGGGGTGTGAAACTGGGCAAATCTGTATCAAAATCCTTGACCCCTAGAAGTGCCTGCCTGAGGGAAGAGGCCCGTCTACCCCTTCGGGCTTGCTCACTGTCCCCCCACCCAGCTCTCTTCCGTCCCTGCCCCCAGCCCTGGCCCTGAGCCCCCACCTGGCCTCTCTTCTTGCCCTCCTTGAATCCTGCGGAATCGACTGCCCAGTGCCAGTGCAGTTGATTATCCCCGGCGAGACACACAACTGATTAAAATGAAATGACCCGGAAGCTGCCACGGCGCGGGGCGGAGATGCCGATCAATAGTGGGGCTGGAGGCACATGAGTCTGGCCAGTCCCGGCTGGGAATGGGGTTGAAGACGGAGGGCCAGCCTGGGGGGTGCCTGAGACTTTGGGCGTGGAGATGGTTCAGTGAGGCAGTGGGAAGGCCCGTGCCTGGGCTTGCCGAAGGGGCTGTGATGGTGGAGTGGCCCTCAGGTTCTTCTGCAAGGAGAATGGGACAGCCTGGTACATTCTCGACCCAGCGCATCACCCGGGCCCCCGGAGCTCGAAGCCCAGTCCCAGGCCTGTGGCGCACTGGATGCACTCGGCCTCTTGGAGCAGCCTCTTCTCCCTCTCTTCTTCCTCTGCCTCTGTGGCCCTGTCAGTCCCGCCTAAGCCTTTGTGTGGCCGTCACCTGGAGCACCGGCTGTGCCTCAGGCTTTCCCGGGCCCTTCCCTTATCCTCTCCGTCCCCCCAGCGCTGGGGCTGAGATGCCCGGCCCGCCGGGACGCTCGACCTCCCGGTAGGCGCGCTGAGGCGCCCACGGCTTCCACAGCTCCGGCCCTTTCCGGCCCCAGCTAAGCCGAAGCTCCCCGGCCCCAGTGTGCGGGCCCCGGTGGCCGTCTGGCCCAAGGGAGGGCGGGGGCAGGCGAGAGGGAGCCATGGAGGAGGGGAGCAGTACTAGTCCGGCTCCGATTTCTCCGGTCAGCTGAGCACAACTTTCCATTCGAGTGTATTCATGCAGCGGCTGATTGAGCTCCACTGTGCCGGGCGGGGCTCGGCGGGAGGGGGCAGGCACAGCCAGGCTGACAGAGGCTACACATACACACACACACACGTATGTGCAATTCATCTCATCTACATAAACATGCCTTCCATGTTATATCACACCTCACCCCCCAGCGGTGCCATCATAAACACAGCCGAGCCCCTTCCTTCAGGCACCTACCTGCCCTCAGAGCAGTTTCCCAGCACCCACAGACCTGCTTCCCTACACAACATAAGGCCTGCCTTTCTGATTTCCCCCTTATGGATTCTACACCGGTCCTCAGATACAAACACAAGAATCCTTCATCTGCCTCTCCTGCAGGCACACGCTCCAGGATGCACGCACTCCAAATCTGCAAGATGCACGCACAAAATGCCCAGGCTCACAATCACACCCTCCTACAGAGCTACCCAGCCAGATTCACACAATAGAAATACGCATCTGCATAAAATGGCATTAGCACCAATAGACATTTAGTGCACAGCCTGTTGTACATACACAGTGTGCTGGGGCTCACCAAAAGTTTACACACAAGAAAGGGAGCAAATAACAATAAATCCAGTCAGAGAACACAGCCACTACACAGTCACCACCACAAACACACAGAGGACAGACAGAGGAAAGCTTCGGGCACACACACATACCTGTGAGCCAACCCAAAGACATGAGATATGTCACCCAGAGGCATGCCAACCTCCAAACCACAGAGTTTGACTCTAGGGACTCAGAGACCACCCATTCATTACATGTGCGCGCGCACACACACACACACACACACACACACACACACACACACAAGGCTAGGGCCCCAGAGATAGGTAGGGAACTAGATAAGCATCTTGACAGAAGCATTCCTGCTGTTGGGAGTGAGCAGGTAAACAGAGGCCTCTGTGTTACAATCCACCCCTAAATGCCCATGATATGCTGTTTTGCAGAGCAAGAAGGGAGAGTGAGGAAGAGGGAGATAAATTATAGAGTGGGGATGAAGGCAAAAAGGAAAAGCAGAGAGAAAGGAGAGGGGAGTTGAAACAAAAAGTGGGGAGAGGAGAGAACAGGGAAGGGGTGGGAGCCGGAAGGGTCTGAGGGAAGATGGGGAACAGCTTCCCAGGCTTAGGTGAGGGAGGGTCAAGGCTGGTTGGGGAGAGGGTGCCACTGAGGCAGGAGAGCAATTCCTTCTCCAAGAAAGTGCCTAGGGGAGCACATTGACTTGTGGCTGGCTGGACTTGGGAAGTTAGCCGAATACTGGGGGTGCACAGCAGCTTGGGGCTCAAGAGCACCCATTCCCCTTGTGGGCTGGGGAGGTCATGCAGCTTCCTCTGCACAGAAGAGGCCCACTCAAGAAAGCACTCACCTTCCCATACCTCCCTTCCCTGGACTCAGCGGCAGCTTCTCCCCTCACACTACACACTCTTATAGATGCCCCCAATACAATTCCATTCATAAGACACACAGTCACCGCTCTGAGCGCGCGCACACACACCTCTGCCTTCTACAGTGGGCACAGGCAACCACCCCCTTCTGCACAGGGATGCAGTAAGGGACAGAAGCACATCTCCACTCCTAGCAACAACTCCCCACTTTTTACAAATGAACCCACGACTCTAACTGGTTTCTACACATACTCTTTTTGGAAAAGAAAAGGACTTTAACCTGCAGGAGTCTAACCCGTCAAGACGTCGAGGACTTTACAGAATGTGCTGGCAAGAAAGGAGGGCACAAGCAAGTCACACACACACGCATGTGCCAGGCTCTGCCTACACTCCAGCCCCGCCAGGCTGCTCACGGCGGGCTCAGTCAGGGTGGAGCCCCTCTCTGCCTGAGGATGGAAATGGCTGTATGGCTGAAGGAGCTACAGACCAGTCAAGCACTGGCTGTTCTCTCTCTCTCTCTCTGTCTCTTTTTTGAAAAGATGAGGCTTGGCAAGAGGGGCGAGTTGCCTGGGGACTTCTCGGATCCCTGAAGGTGAATGCAGGAAGAGTGTGCGGGGCCCAGGAACCGAAACAGGAGGTCCGAGGGACCGACGCAGGGTTCAGATGCGAGAGGGAGCGCGGCGGGGCGTGGGGACGCGGTCCCCGGGGCAGGGGTCCAGGATATGTTGACGCGGCCCGGTGGGGCGCGCGCCCCTTGGTCCCCGCTCCGCCCTCCCGCCTTCGCGGCGCTCTCTCCCTGGGCCTTTGTCCCCACCTCTTGGGCTCGGACTCCGTCTTTCTTCTTTCAAGCCGCTGGGAGGCGCTGTGGCCGAAGCTCCGGCCTCTCCCAGCCTGATGCCCTGGTCCTCCGGCCGCGCTGTGTTTCTCCGAACCCGGTCCCCTGGGGCTGGGCTGCCTCAGGCAATGGCCCGGCCTGTGGCTGGGGACGGCCTGGAGCCCTTACAGGCCCGCACTGGCTTTAGTTTGTTGGATTTTGCGATACTTACCATCATAATTAATTTGCGACCTTTCAACAGAATTTCTTAGCAAGGCCCCTTAACGACTGGACGCGCTGCTGATTCCTGGCGTCTGCGCCTCTCCCTCTGCAGCCCCGGACAGGTGCAGCCGCCTGCCCCTACCTCGCCCAGGACACACTGGCGCCGCCCCGCCAACCTGGACTGGGAGGAAGGACAGAGGACCGACGGACACGTGTACATGTGCGGGCGCACGGAACTCAGCCCCGGCCACCGCTGCCTTTCCCCTGTGTGTCTGAGCTGAAGCGGCTCCGCTTATATCGGGAGGTGAAACGGAAGCTCAGAGAGGGCCATAATTTGGCCACTGTCACACAGCCAACCTTCACCTCCACCCGGCTACACCTGCACACTCGATGACCCTCTCTGTCTTCCTCGCCGTGCGCTCCCGATAGCCGGGGAAATACTTTTCTGAGATGCCCCTCTGGGCGCGCAAGATGAGGCAAAAGCGGGAGAAGGGAGTGGGATAGGGTAGGGAGCGGGCGGCCCTAGACTCTGCCCTTCTGGGCGCGCCATCGCTCCCACCACCAGCACTAGGACTTTGCAGGAACGCGCCTCCTTCGCGCTGCCTAGGAGGACCAGACCCAAGAGAAGCGCTCAGCAAGCAGCTACATGCAGGTGCCCCTACCAAGCCCGGAGAAAGAGCGGGGATTTCAGGGGCCTCCCCTCCCACAGCGGACAGGCCTCCGCTTAAACCACCAGTGCTTCCCAGTGGGCTGGGAATCGAGGATGTGAAGTGTGTGGATACATGTGAACGTTGTTGAGTGTGCAGTGAGATTGTTGTGCACATTCTCATGCACTGCAAGAGAAATGTTTACCTTGTACGGATGACGCGTCTACCTACAGATGAGCCTGGGGGCTTGTCCAGTGCTTGTGGGCGTGATGCAGAAATATCAACTAAGTTCTCGAAGAATGGAGAGGAGAGGGACAAGCACAATTTAGCCCTGTCCTCAAGTTTCTCATGAGCCAGTGGGAGGGACAGTTGAGGTCACCACTTAAAAACAAACCAACCCCGTGGAGTTGCACACAGTGTTTCCCGGTGGCGTGGCAACTTCGCAATTAATTACTGCAACTTTGGCAGTGGGAATAGAGAGGGCTCCTCTGAGCAGATGGCACTGACCCAGAAGGATGAATGGGATTGAGTGGAGGAGATTCTAGGCAGGAATGGCAGGCGGGAAGGCATGGAGGAGGTGTCAGGTCCAGTGGGGAGCAGTGCAGTGTGCCTCCACCGCCCCCAGAGTACCGTAGTATGCGGCCTATGAGTTTTTGAGAGGTTGCTAATTGATTCTGAGGGAAGAGGGAGTAGGGATTAATTACAAGATCAGGCAAGTTGTGTGGCCTTGATCCCAAGGGTACTGGGGAGTCAAACAAAACTGTATGAAAGTGGTTGGGTGCGGTGGCTCACGCCTGTAATCCCGGGACTTTGGGAGGCCGAGGCGGGAGGATCGCGAGGTCAGGAGATCGAGCCCATCCTGGCCAACATGGTGAAACCCTGTCTCTACTAAAAATACAAAAATTAGCTGGGGCTGGTGGCGCATGCCTGTAATCTCAGCTATTTGGGAGGTTGAGGCACAAGAAGCACTTGAACCCAGGAGGCAGGGGTTGCAGTGAGCTGAGATTGCTCCACTGCACTCCAGCCTGGAGACAGAGGGAGACTCCGTCTCAAAACAGACAAACAAACAAACAAAAAACTGTATGAAAGCTTGAATGGGAATATCCAGCGTCCTGCTGAAGGACTTTAGCTGGGGGCAGTGAGGCTGTACACAGGAAAGCCCTTAGGAAACTATTCCAATAGGCAGGACTGAGCTAAGGCACTAGAACGTGTTAAAGGCATTTCCAAGGAGAAATGGTGATGACTTGATGACCAGTTGCAGACCTACAGGCTGCCCTCCGATGACCTGATTTCAGTGTTTGTCCCCTTTTCATGGATCTGTGACTTGGCCCTAGATTCCACACTCTGACCTCAATTCCTCCAGAAGCATCGTGACCTCCAGCTTCATGTGCGCTCACAATTCACATGCTCACACGTGCTCCTTAGAGGGGTCTGTCGGTGGACGCCGCGAACCAATAAAACCCATGCACTTTGTTCCAAAACCCATTCCCTACCAGAATGGGAGTCCTGTAGGGCCAGGTCTCCTCCCATACCCACCCATTTCGGCCTTTGTTCTACTGCACAATAACAGCTGGCACTGGGGTGCGGGAGGACGGTGAAAGCTTGAGTCCCAGGCCGCAAGTCCTCCAGGAGTAACGGGGGTGACCCGAGGAGAGCAGCGTACTGGGTGAGTGGGAGCGTGGCCCTTGAGAAGGGTACCGAGGGTCAGAGGTAGTGCAAGGGACCCAGGAGGCACGCGCCGCCGAAACCCTGAGTATTCGTCCGAGCGCCGCTGCAGGCTCTGCGAAACTTCAATGCGCGCAGCCTCCTGCACATCGTTTTCGCGCGACCTCTTTGCCTCGGGCTCCAGGGGTGAAGCCAACCCAGAGCGGGAATGTTCCATTTGCACTATTGGGACATTCAGGGAGGCTTTTACGGGCTGCCGCGGCGCTTCCACGCAGAGGAGGCGACGGCTCCCAGGCAGCTTGGCGATCTTGTTATTGGACATGCGAGGGTTTAGAGACCCAGGGAAATGGAATGAGTCAAAGTCAAACTCAAGTTGCTCGGCCCCTAGTCCTGCGATCCTTCCATTTCACATTGCACCCCTGGGCCGCCTTTCACATCCGCTCGTCGCGAGCTTGGGGTGTAGGGGCGACCACCAGTGCGTGTCTGTGTGCGTGGCCTCTGGGTGATTCCACGCCCGCAACTGTCTCCGAGTGTGTGGGAGCGTGTGTGGCAGGTACTTGGGAGCAGGACAGGGAAGGAAGCCTCAGCTTCCAGACCCGTTCTCGGGTGCTGGCGGGAGCGGTGGGTAGGAGCAGAAGGAGGTATGTGGGGAAGGATTGAGACAGACAAGGGCTCTGCGCCAGCAAGAGTCCAGGACGCGACCCCGCATGCCGGGCCAGCCGGGAGGCAGGAGAATGGATCACTTCCCCCGGGGATGGGAGAGCAGAGGAAGGCTGCAGGTCGGGTAGCTAGATTCCATGATGCCCTCAAGAAGTTGCCAGACGCCGGTTGGGGAGCTTTCAAGAGCCAGAGACCCAGGGAAGTCCCCTCTTCGGCCTCCGAGGACCCCGAAGCCTGGCCGCAGTGCTCAGCCTTGGACCCAGCGGTTCCGCGGCTGGACGCCCCTCGGCGCTGGCTGTGCGCACCCAGGCGCAAAGCACTGCAGGTTGGAGGCGGAAGGCAGCGCGCTCTGGGCTCATTGGCGGGTTTTTGCTGCCACCTCGCGGCGGTGGTGCGTAGCATGCGAACCCTCCGCGCCGCGGGCGTTTGCCACGTACGCGGGTGGTTTGGGGGGCCTTGCCCTGCCGCGCTGTCCTTTTCTGCTCGGGTTTTCACAACACTTCTTCCACCAGGACAGCCTCCTTTTCCTCTTGAGGTCTGCGATGGACTGCGCCCTGTCTTATGCCAAAGTCCACCATTTTGCGTGGGTAGGACCCTCCATCCTGGCCTGTGGGATTTAGGGTCACCTTTCTAGCTCCTTTCTCTTGCTTTACTACTTGATCCCATAGCTGTCCACCTGGACTTGCAACAGGTCTCATGCTAATATTTCCCTTCTTCTGCACTATTAACTTCCTGTCTTGCAGATAGATGCCTCCAGATCTCCTACAGAGGGCGTATGGGGCTGTCTTCCACCGTGATAGGCTGTCCGTGGGAAGCCATGCCACGCTAGCGCCCTCTCCTCTCCACAACCGTCTGCTGAAGGCCTTCCATGTGCCTGACGCTGCCACACCTTGGAGACAGCCAATGGCAGCCTAGACCCTGCCCCTGCGATTATAGTTTAGTGCAAGCAGAGAAACACAATACCCAAATTATCATTGAAGCTGCCATATGGAAGTATGGACAAAGTGGGAGCCCGAGGAGGGCCTTTGAAACAGATCTTGATGGATAAGCATGAGTTTTCCAGGCTAGTGAGGAGGGAAGGACAGTCAAGGGACTGGGAAGTGTGTGTCCAAAGACACTTGGGTACAAAAGAGCATGGGGTGCTGAGAGGGACAGCTGTTTCCTGGGGTGCTCCACAGTCTGATGGTGAAGACATTGCTTTGCTCTGGACAGCATAGCCAGCCAGCTTGGGCGAATGTATTGATAAGAGTATCAAGTGGCAGCCGTGAAAGGAATATTTGGAATTGCTTCTTTTCCCATTTAAATAAACAAGGAAACCAAGACTCTGGCTAAGTCTCTGTCCTTAAGTACACAGCTAGTTAGGGGGCCGATTGCTCTATAGAGTCCACCATCGTGCCTAAGGGAGGCTGGGTTCCAATGCCAGGTGGTCTGGAAAGAGGAAGGTGGTGGTCGGGAGGGGGCAAGAGGAGCCATCACAGGCTCTTTTCCTTTTCTCAGCTACAGTTTTGCTTGCCTGCTTCTCTCTTAGGCAGCATAAATACTAACCCTTACTCTCTTCTCTACAGATGCAATCATTCTAAAAGCTTTGGGGTTTTTTGTTTGTTTGGTATATTTGCTGCCAAAACTATTTGGCAGCAAACCTGACCTAAACAGTATGAAGCTATTTATAGTCTTTATTTATCCTGCTTGGCATAGATATCAGATGTTTCACTGCAGAAATGCTGATGTGTTGGATTACAGGTACTGCTCTGGACCCACTTGGGTGGTATCATGTAATACAGAATATACGGACCATTATATCTACCTTTCTAAAATCTCCAAAACTATGAATTTCCCAAAGTTTTTGGAAAGGGATTGTGGTCCTTTGGGATTGAGCCTGGATTGTCTTTTGATAAAGAGGTTCGTGGTGGGAGAGGAAGTTAGGAGAGAGTGGGAATTTAAACAATGTAATGAGATAAACCATGATCGGAAGTTTGCAGAAAGAGTAGGTCAAGTTGGCTATGGGACAGGGTCACAGGGCCAGCCCAGCAAAGCTGCTGGCATCCTGGAGGGCCTTAGGGCCTAGGGTCTTAAATTTCTTTTTTTCTTTTGAGACAGGGCCTCACTCTGTCACCCGGACTGTAGTGCAGTTGTATAATCACAGCTCACTGTAGCCTCACCCTCCAGGGCTCAAGCAGTCCTCCCACCTCAACCTCCTGAGTAGCTGAGACAAAAGGTGCACACCACCACGCCCAGCTGATTTTTGTATTATTTTAGAGACGGGGATTCACTATGTTGCTCAAGCTGGTCTCAAACTCCTGGGCTCAAGCAGTCCTCCTACCTTGGCCTCCCAAAGTGCTGGGATTACAGACATGAGCCACCGTGCCCAGCCCTTAGATTTCTACACAAGCTGGAGAAGGTAGATAAGATCCTGGCTCCAGGCATTTTTTCTTGGCCATTCTCTCCCAGAATCAGACTCTCCCCTTGATGCCAGAATTCTCCCTTTCTCCAAACCCAGGGAACATCTAACTCCACCTCTCCAGGTCAGTCAGGTAGGGGCAGCCAGATGCTCCCTCTATCCCCTGGAAGCCCTGGGGGGAAATCCATCTCTATCAGAAAGCCACAGGTAAGTGCCTAAAATGTGAAAACTTTACATGAGAGAGACAGCTGCGAAGGAGGAAGAAAGTGAACATTTATGATTGAATGCTTCCTAGGCATCCAGCAGTGCCCTGGGTTCTTACACCAGCCTTTTTTTTTTTTTTTTTTTTTTTTTTTCATCCTTGCAGCATCCTGGGAGATCAGTATTTCCATCCTCATTTTTATAGTTGAGGGAATTGAGGGCCTGTGAGGTTGTAGGATCCTTGCTAGTCCTCCTGCTCCCCCGAAGTCCTCCTGCAGTAGGGTAAGGAGTTCTAGTCCAAGCTTTCCTCTTTTCCACCTTCCAGGACAGTGGAGAACTGGAGCCCTGGTAGTGTGTGTTGGAGGGGAGAATGTGGGTCCCTTGGAAGGGAGTGGCTGGGGGCCCTGAGCTCTGTGGGATAATCTAGGCTAACCCTGTGGTGCTCCTTTCCCAAAGTTCCATCACAGACGAACAGAATGGTGACATATTCCCTTGTCCCTCCAGGGAAGACTGCTCCCTTCCCAGTGGGGCTCACCTCCGTCTGCAGCTGTTCAGCTCTTCCTTCTGTGTCAACACTCCCCCCTTGTCTCTTTGTGAGAACTTTGGCTGTATTGTTGTTGTTGTTTTTGAGATGGAATCTCCTTCCATCGCCCTGGCTGGAGTGCAGTGGCTCCATCTCAGCTCACTGCAACCTCCGCCTCCTGGGTTCAAGCGATTCTCCTGCCTCAGCCTCCTGAATAGCTGGGACTACAGGTGCATGTCACCACGCCCAGCTTATTTTTGTATTTTTAGTAGAAACAGGGTTTCACCATGTTGGCCAGGCTGGTCTTGAACTCGTGACCTCAAGTGATCTGCCTGCCTTGGCCTCCTAAAATGCTGGGATTACAGGCATGAGCCACCGCGCCCGGTCGGCTGTATTGTTTTCTATGTTTATTTAAAGTATTGTAACACTAAAAACCTGCAGTGATGAGAGTTTGGAACTGCACGCCTCAGGAACATCTGGGCTCCTGAGTCACTGGAGAACAGCTTAGAGACAGGGTGGGGACAGTAAGCTGAGCTGGGAAGAGTGACTCAGAGATACCAGCATCATCATGACCTGTCCAGAAGTAGAGGAAACAGGGACCCTGCAGATGGGCCAGAGGGAGCTGGGAGTTTTCAGGTAGCGGGAGGAAGGATGCACCTCAGGTGGTGGGGGAAGTTACAGTGCAGAAAATGATGCCCTCATGGAGCTATCCTGGCCACCAGAGAGCCCCAGACCACATTCTGCCTGGCTTTACTGTGATTGCGGTGCATGGGTTATTTCTCCTGTTAGACTGGGGATGGGACTGTGTTAAATGCACCTTTGTATTGCCCACAGCACCTAACACAAAGCCAGACTCTGTTGAATGGATGGGTGAGTGAATGAATAAGCACCATAGGCTTAAAAACCAGGCAGTGCTGGGCGCAGTGGCTCATGTCTGTAATCCCAGCACTTTGGGAGGCCGAGGTGGGCGGATCACGAGGTCAGGAGATGCAGACCATCCTGGCTAATATGGTGAAACCCTGTCTCTCCTAAAAATACAAAAAAGTTAGCCGGATGTGGTGGCATGTGCCTGTAGTCCCAGCTACTTGGGAAGTTGAGGCAGGAGAATCACTTGAATCCAGGAGGCGGAGGTTGCAGTGAGCTGAGATCATGCCACTGCACGCCAGCCTAGGTGACAGAGTGAGACTCCATCTCAAAAAGAAAAGAAAAGAAAACAAACAAACAAAACAACAACAACAACAACAACAAAAACAGGCATTACCAGCCTTCCACAGAATATGCCTACAGAAATCTACAGATGACCCTGATGGGGCATGCAGAACCCAGAGCCATAGAAATCACCTAAAAGGAGGGGATGGGAGAGAACCTGAGCAGACTGTCTGTTGCCTGGAGCAACAGGAGGACTCTCTGGGGTCAGCTGAAAGGGAAGCAGTCAGGGAACTTACAAGGGGGGAGTACCACTTGGGCAAGGGCAGGAGAATAACAGACAGTGCCCTGGAGGAACATTGCATGCTGCAGAGGAAGGAGGGCGGCCTTGGTGATGATGTCACCATGAAGCACTTGGAATTGAGACAGAACATTCTCACTTGGGGTCAATTTGTACCCTAGTACTGAAAGTTATTCCCTGGTGCTATCTGTACTCATCATATTTTGACAAACTTTAGAGTAACCCTTCCATCTCTCCCTGCTTCTTTTTGATTTTAAACATCAAGCATTTGAACATGAGTCTTCTTGTCTATTTATCTCAGTGTAAAGAGGAACAACTGGGCGGGGTGTGGTGGCTCACGCCCTCTCTTGGTACTTGATGTAGTCAGTTGCCTGACTGCAAACACAGGCCTACCCTGAGTAGAAAGAAAAGAGAGTTGTGACAGTTGCCTAGAAGATTTCTCTGTGGAAGCAGCAGGTGTTTTTCTGAGTGGAAACTTTATGGAGGGAACTAGCATTTAATTAAAAAACAGGCCGGGCACGATGGCTCATGCATGTAATCCCAGCACTTTGGGAGGCTGAGGTGGGTGGATCACTTGAGGTCAGGAATTTGAGACCAGCCTGGCCAGCACGGTGAAACCCCATCTCCAATAAAAATACAAAACGTTAGCCATGTGTAGTGGCCGGCACCTGTAATCCCAGCTACTTAGGAGGCTGAGGCAGGAGAATTGCTTGAACCTGGGAGGCAGAGGTTGCAGTGAGCCAAGATCGGGCCACTACACTATAGCTTGGGCAACAGAGTGAGACTCCATCTAAAAAAAAAAAATAGGAATAACTGATGTGATCAAGTTGACCTTCCCATGTTCTCCACATAGACACATGCTCAACAACTGCCTCTAGAGAGGAAGCAGGCCTGGTGGTAGCAGCTGTGGAGTGGGGTGATGGTGGCTGGGATGGGGGTGGAGCTAGGGAGTGGGAAGCCAGGGGTCTGTCTCCTGCCCATGGGCTCCTCCTATCTGGCCACATGGTAGATGAGCCCCTTCTCCTTGCCTTCGTTTCATTTCAGGATTCCTGGCCATTCTCTCTGGTTGCCAGTCCCACACCAAGCCTCCCAGACATTGATTCTCTGCTGCTCTGTGGCACAGAAGACCACAGTGATGGGCTCTGCAGACTTCACCTTGGAGTCCCCCTTTCATCCCTGCCCGTTAGTCTCCTCCTTGGTTGTTTGGTTGCATTTTTTCTAATGCCAAGGGGTAGGGGCAATGTATGGTATCTTCGCTTTTTTACATCTAGCACGACTCTGGCTTCCCCTCCTTCCCCCTTCCTGCTGCCTTGTCTTTTTATCCATCTCCCTCCTGCTCACAGGATGGACACTGCCTTGTCCCTAGCAGCTCCAGCAGACCCCTTCTCCAAATGCCCCCTTTCTCTGGGTGGCCCCTGCCATCTGTCCTGGCCTTTGGATGTTGGTTCCCATAATGCAGATGAGAAGGTGGAGGCAGAGAGAGGGAAAGAAGCCTGCCAAGGCTGAACACTGAAGCACCCTCAGGGCCAAGGCAGGTATTCTCCTGCGGGAGCGAAGGGCCCCTGGGAGACCCGGGATGCTCGTGAAAAAGGTCTCCATCCCTGGGGCCCTGCTAAAGCTTCCCCGCGAGGGCCACATCTCTCCCACACATCTGGGGCAGTGTTTCCCAAACTTATCTGAACATGAGGGGCACCTGAGGCTCTCGTCAAATGGTCACGGTTCTGAGTCCTTATTGCGTTGGAATCCCCAGGTGCTGGAGGTGATTCTTATTAACAGGAAGGATGGGAAAATACTGCCTGAGAGCCTTGTTCTTCAGTGCAAGGGTGAGGGAGGGGTCCTGGAAGCGCTGGTATCTCTTGGGGACTCTTTAGAAATGCATTTTAGAGTTTGAGACCAGCCTGGCCAACATGGTGAAACCTCGTCTCTACTAAAAATACAAAAATTAACAGGCGTGGTGGTGCTGGCCTCTAGTCCCAGCTACTTGGGAGGCTGAGGCAGGAGATTTGCTTGAATTTGGGAAGCAGAGGCTGCAGTGAGCCAAGATTGCACCACTGCACTCCAGCCTGTGTGATGACTCCATCTCAGAAAAAGAAAAAGAAAAATGCATTTTAACAAGATCCCAGGTGATTTGTAGGAACAGGGGCATCTCTGGGTTGGAAATTCTTCAAGGTAACACTGTGCATTGGGGGGAAACACAGGCCTTGTAACCTTGGTCCTGTTATTCCAGCAATCTGAGCTCTGGTCTTGCTCCTCTCTGAATTCGTGGTAATAACAGTTGGCACTGGTTGTGATAACTAGATTGGATGTTGGGCTGGAAACATTTCACCAAGTTTAGAAATGTGGACTGCCCCTGGTGTCTGGCCCTTGTCCTTGGCTACTACTCCTTTCACTCTGGCCACCCCAGGACTCCCTATCCCGTCTGTCTTCTCACAGGTGCTGACCTCCCCGCCAGCCCCGGCCGCAGTGCTTAGGCTGGCTGCCTGAAGGTAGGGCTCTTCAACTCTTGCAGATAAACTCTTGAGAAGATGGCCAGCCTCTGGGGGGGTCTCCGCCTTGGCCACAACCACAGCCCCTCCTTCCCACCCCCACCTCTGGTCATGGAAACCAGATGCCCCAATCACTCAATGGACAGATGCTGAAGAAGAACTTGGAGAATAATCACAGACAGAGCCCCCTTCCCAGAGGGCAGACCCATTGCCAAGGCCTCAGCCCAGAGGGACTGTGCTGGTTCCAGAAACAGCCCACGTAGAAATGGTTTGGGTGATGGGCTGGCCTTGTTAGGGTGGCTGGACAGGGGCCAGCTGCTAAAGCATCATGGGGGTGAGGAAAGATGCCTGGAACTAATGTGTATAGATAGAAGTATCATTGTGCCACTGGGCCAGGCATTCCCCACCCAGCTGGCCTGACTTGCGGATGAAGGACAAGATGAGGCTGCTGCCAGCTTCCCCAGACGCCCAGACCCCATAGCACTTCCTGGCCCCAGACAGTTCCTCCTCTATGCAGATTTGTCCAATCAGAGCGGCCCCAGGCGGGCCTCTGGAGGCCCATGGTCTGCCCCAGCCTCTCTGTATTCACATCCTAGACCTTCCTGGCCTGACTCCTTCCATTTTATACTGCACCTTGTTTGCTTCCATAAATATCCTCCTGTGTGTCAGATCACATGTCCCCCCCCCTTTTTTTGTCTCAGAAAATAGGATTGTTATATTTACATTACTTCTTTGAGTTTTATTTTGTGGAAGGCAGAGGTAAGAGCATAAGTAATGAGTTCGTTGGGCCTTGCTTTCCAACTCGTTGTAGATTTCTTATTTTTTCTTTTTTTTTTTTTTAAGATGGAATCTCGCTTTGTCGCCCAGGCTGGAGTGCAGTGGCACCATCTCAGCTCACTGCAAGCTCCGCCTCCTGGGTTCACGCCATTCCCCTGCCTCAGCCTCCGAGTAGCTGGGACTACAGGCGCGCACCACCACGCCCGGCTAATTTTTTGTATTTTTAGTAGAGACGGGGTTTCACCATGTTAGCCAGAATGGTCTCGATCTCCTGATCTCATGATCTGCCTCCCTCGGTCTCCCAAAGTGCTGGGATTACAGGCGTGAGCCACCGCGCCCGGCCCTATTTTTTCTTTCCTGTTGTAAATATTAATCAATCTATGATCATGTATAATAATAATGCTTATACTTTCAGTTAGTGGCTCTGAGTTCTACTGACTTAAGTCCCATACACTCACCAGCCTGGAATTCCTTCCAATGGGGATACCCCACAGCTTTCTGGGGCACAGCCTTGCTTTCTCTCATAGTCTTGCTTTCTCTCTTAACCATGTCACTGTTGAAAAGAGCTGACATCATCTTGTTGATTCAAGTAGGCCTCCTGGAAAACATTATTCTGAACAATCTTACAAAGATCTATAAAGAGGTTTTTTTGTTGTTGTTGTTGGATTCTCTTTCTGTCACCCAGGCTGGAGTGCAGTGGCATGATCTCAGCTCACTGCAACCTCCACTTCCTGGGTTAAAGTGATCCTCCTGCCTCAACCTCCCAAGTAGCTGGGGCTACAGGTGCCCGCCACCATGCCCGGCTAATTTTTGTATTTTTAGTAGAGATGGGGTTTCACCATGTTGGCCAGGCTGGTCTTGAACTCCTGGCCTCAAGTAATCCACCCACTTCAGCCTCTCAAAGTGCTGGAATTACAGGCATGAGCCACCACACCCAGCCAAGAGTTTTCAAAAATTGTGAACCAAAAACCCAGCACCTTAAAGTATGTGAGAAATTTAACATTCTACAATTAGACCACCTGATCGCCACACGGGGGATACTGTGATCCTGGGAGAGCCTTGCCTGGGAAGCCTGGATTGTTCTAAACCTTTGAAGTGACATCCCAGGTCCACACTGTAGGTTTCCTCTCAGCTCTGGGTCTGGGGGCCTTCGTCTTGGCTGCAACTTGGCTGCAACTTGCAAAGAGGTGTCTTAGGACTGGGATGCCAGTGGCTGAGGCCCTCCTGAGGGTTCTTTTTCCCTTTCTACAGCCACACATTGGATTCTCTTTTTGGGGCTTGGCAAGCTCTTCCCTGGCTACTTCCTCTCTTCCTCCTCTCCCCTTCCTTCTTGAGTCCCTACCCTCTTCATCTTCCTCTTTTCCCTTTTTCTCCATTTTCTCTTCTGTCTTTCTTTTTTTTTGAGATGGAGTCGCACTCTGTCACCCAGGCTGGAGTGCAGTGACATGATCTTGACTCACTGCAACTTCTGCCTCCTGGGTTTGAGCAATTCTCCTGCTTCAACCTCCCGAGTAGCTGGGATTACAGGCACACATCACCATGCCCAGCTAATTTTTTTTTTTTTTTTTTTTTTTTAGTAGAGACAGAGTTTCACCATGTTGGCCAGGCTGGTCTCTAACTCCTGACCTCAGGTGATCCACCCATGGCGGCCTCCTAAAGTCCTGGGATTACAGGCGTGAGCCACCGTGCCCGGCGTTCTTCCCTCTTTTCTTGCCCTTCCCTCATCTGCCTTTCTGGAGGGCCCCACCCAGTGTTCCCTCTCCCTGGGGTCTGAGTTCCGTATGACAGCCCCCTGCAGGTGGAGGAGCCAGCTCCCTGTGTCCTCGCCTCCTCGGTGCACCAGCCTCCCTGCCTGGCTCAGCCGCCTGGGCAGATGCAGGCACCCCCTGCATTGTTTCCCGTCCTGAAGACGAGCAGCTGCCGCACTAATTGCCACCAGCAGGGGGGCCGGGCTGTGCTCGCACTCCTCCTGCCGATTAGAGGGCGACCCGGAGGGGGGGCAGTTTTCAGGAGCCGAACGAGCCGAGCCAGTGTTGAGCATTATTCCAGGAATTTTAAACACTCGTTAAAGGCTTTGCCATGTCTCACTTCAGTACACATCATGCTCCAGTTACTGCTCGGAACTGCGGGGGCATCAGCCCGGGCAGCACTTATCAATATTTTAGCACGAGAAAGGCAAATGATGTTGAAACATTGAACTATATTTCCATCTGTTCAAACTGAAATGGAACAAGCTTAGCTCAGGAAATGGGATCTCTCCTCCCCAGCTGCCTTGGAAGCAGCAATACCCACTGGCCTGCCCTTGGCCCTTGCCTCAGTTTCCCCTTCACTGCTCTTCTCGATTAGTCCCCAGTGTTCATACCTTACGGGCATGATATTGAATAGGTGTTAGGTTTGCCGGTAGAGCAGGAGTGGCGGCACCTCAAAGAACCTGAGAGGGATCCCCGCTCTTGTTAAAATGTGCCTTCCCCATCGACTGACAGAGAACAGTGGGGTCAAATGCGATCTGTCTTAGTGCCAGGGGACATCCTCTCTATGTCCTGCACCTGTTTCAGTGCCTCTGGACTGTCCGTCCTGCAAGAAGACCCAGGATGGCTGGCTGGATGTGAAAAGGAAAACACTGATCATACTTAGGTGGACGAACACTATAAATACTGCATACAAATAAAGCATTTATGGTAGACTCCTATTTCCCCTGGAACAAAACAGAATTTATTGGCAGGAAAGAACCTCAAAAATTTTGGCATTCAATTGTCAGAGAAGAACAGAGAAGTTTCCACAGTGTGGAAAGCAGGGTAGCTGATGTGGATGGAGACGAGTCATCTCATGTGATTTAGAGGACAGCCCATGGGATGTCTCCTCCAGCAGGGCCCCCAAAAGGCCTGTGATTAACAGTATTCAAGGAAGAAGGAACCCTTTTGTCCCCAGCCCTAAAGCAGAATGGGGATTGCTTCTTCCCATTTCCCCTCAGACTGTCTTTTGGCAACCTCTCCCTTTGAGGCTGTTCAGTTTAATTTGGTTCATCTGCAGGGAAATAGGGGTGGGGTGGGGGAAGGGCATGTGGTAAGAGATGAGCCCAGAGCCTGCATTCCCCAAGACTCACCGTGCTAAGAGGGGTCCTGGGAGCTGGTCTCAAATCCTAGAGTGTGGGATATATACTTTTTGTTTCTGGCATCAACTGAAGAATAATTGCAAGACATTCGTCACCCAGGCCCCCATGTGGGCAGCCAGGCTGGTGACAACTTGCCTTTTGGGGAAGAGGTTTCCACTGTGACAACTGTAGCAGCAGCAGAGAGGTTCTTGTCTGTCACAGGAGATCAAGGTCTGCAAAAGCCTAAGAACCCACTGATTTCATCCCTCTCTCTGTTTGCAGACAAGGCCACCTACATCCCAAGCCAGCTGGAGGAGCAGCTTCCAGTCTTCAGAGATGGGCCCATCTTCTTCAGTTGGCCTTGGTAGTCAGGAAAGAGGACAGAGGGATATATTGTAACATATATTGTAAAATTTGAGCCACATACACAGGATAAATGACATCACAAATAATCATCTCCGAAAAGAAATCTGACATCCGACGACTCAGAGGCCAGAGCCATTGCTGACGCTCCTGGAGACTAACATTCTTTGCAAGCATTTGAGCCTCAGTGAGGGTGGTGGGGAGCCAGCAAAGTGATGGGCTCTGCAGAAATCTAGGGGGCTGCCTAGATGATGCACAAATGCAGACCCAGTACATCAATAGAAAAATGTGATGTGTTCATTCCTATCAAGGTGGAGTGCTTTTTAAATTCGCCATTTCTGAAAGACTCAGGATTAATGTCAAAAACTGTATGAAAAGACCCAGCCTCTCACCTCTCTTTCTCTTGACCACAGAATGCGTGTCTAGTGGGGGGAGAGCAAAGGGGGCACTTCGGAAGAATTGTGAAGCAAGCACAGACAGGGTCACAGAGAGCCCTGGTATAGCGGAGGTCAACCCCCACCCTGGTGTCCTCATACACATTATCGCACTAAGGAACTAGGCAGAACTCTAAGAAGGCCTGGCGAAAGACAGAAGACACGGAGAATCAGCACACTGGCTATGCTAACATATGTGAGCCCAAGTTGGAAGACGGCATGAATTAAGACTGAAGCCAAGACCCCCTCCCTCAAAAACAGCACTTATAGATGTTAGAGGGCAGAAAGGCAAAGTCAGAGGAAGCCTAAGGTTAAGTGAGTACTTACCCTGCACCGGGCGCTATCCAAGGTACTTGACGTGAATTCTTAAAGAGCTTCTGAGATATAAATATTATTATAAAACCCATTTGACTAATGGAAACCTGAGGGTCACAGAGGTTAAATAATGCACTAAATGACATACTTGAGGTCACTGAGATAGAGAGTGGCACATTCAGAATCGGAAACTAAATCTGTAACACCAGCACCTCCCAGGCTCATGTTCCTTTTATGCCACATGCCATGTGTAGCCCCAATGTCAAGGGCTAGGGGTGGGGAAAAAGAGCAGACAGAAGGCAGGATGAGACTCCTTAGAGGTCTGAGGGAAGGAACATCCTGGTGTAGGAATGTTGTGCTGGCAAGGTTGCTGAGACATGTCTGTCCACAGCCTGGTGAATCTGGAAGTGTTGAATAAAGGGTTTTTTTTTTTGTTGTTGTTGTTGTTGTTGTTTTTAACAGGAGCCAGAAACCAGAGGGATCCCTAAGAGGGCCAAGACAGTTGCAGAGCAAGTACAGGTTACCCTGAAACTGAAGGTGTGAAGGTGCAAGTTCAGAGTGCAAACCCAAAGGCCACCACACAGATGGGGGACTAATGGGCCACCAGCATTCCTGGGACTCAGTGTGAGTGCAGGCAGCATGGACAGGGAGTGACAACATACAGTGAAGGTGGGGGCAGGCCATGTCCTGGCTTCATGAGACAGGCTAATGTTGTTTGCATGCCCAGCTATTTACAGTCAGGAGACTGAACAAAGATTCTTTAAACTGTGACTCTGCAGAGGCTTATACCAGCTATGTACAAGAGCCCTTTTTCTTGTATGCTCTGCCCACTGTAGACACTCGTGACTGAAGAGATCCCAGGTAAGAAGGTAATGAAGGAGACTAGGACCCATCTAGCAACCACATATGCAGAAATGACAAAGAAAACAGGACCTAGAGATTGGAGAGAGGATGGGTGGGGTTCTTTTGACTTCTTAGAGTACAGAGTCACATGGTTTCCCAGAAAGCAAGTTTCACAGGATGCATGCATATGGACATGAACGCAGGAAGAGTCTTGATCATAAGGCTGCGCCTCCAGGAACCTGAGGAAAGCTGCCCAGCCATGCCTCATGGAGACTGGAGAGTGAATGTTTAAAAATCAGAAGGTCATTCAAGACTGAGGACATCTCTGGAACCAGGTTTTAAGGCTGTTCTCTTAGCAGGTGGGTTTTGTCCACTCTTCAACTCCACTACTGACATCATCAGACTTTTTCCTGTAGGCACCAGAGTCGCGGGGCCTATGACAATATTTCAGATCTTGAAAATACATTATGGGTTCAAATATGAAATGAGAACTATAAAAATCCCCTTGATACACATTTTATTAGTATACCCAAAGTTTGTTAATTTAATATTTGGGCTGGATGTGATGGCTTACACCCGTAATCTCAGTGCTTTGGGAGGCCAAGGTCGGAGGATTGCTTGAAGTCAAGAGTTTCAGACCTGCCTGGGCAACATAGGGAGACCCTGCATCTCTACAAAAAATAAAGATAAAAATTAGCTGGGTGCAGTTGTGTTTGCCTGTTGTCCCAGCTACTCGGGAGGCGGAAGTGGGAGGATTGCTTGAGCCCAGGAGTTTCAAGTGCAATGAACCATGATCCCTTCACTGCACCACAGCCTGGGCAACGGAGCGAAATGCTGTCACTAATAAATAAATAAATATTTAATATTTGTAAAATATTTGAAATCAGATTGTAAGTTAGGATCTCATATTTCCCAAATATGCCTAATGATTGAGACATCAAAGCCAATCATAAATGAAATGTGTCAAGATTCTATAGACAGGAAATTGTTAAGCGAGAAACTTAATGTGAGCGTGGTAACAGTTTTGTGTGTTTGATATGCAGCCTCTGAAGCTCTTCAAATTGGCCTGGAGGAGATTCAGCAGCTTATGTGAGTCAATTCAGCATTGTTTATTAAGCACCTATGATGTATCAGGCATTGTTCTAGAAACTTGAATGACATGGATGGACCCAAAAAAGATGTGTCCTCATCTCTAAAGAGAAACATGAAAAGGAAACAAAATCAATAAGTAAAACATGTAGTGTGTTTGAAGGTAACAAGGAATAATAAAAAGTGAGGTCAGGTAAGGGGACCAGGAGAGGTGGGGTGGGGGAAAGCGGTGGCAAGAAATGGAGTTGTCAGTTTAGGCCTCTGTTAGAAAGTGAGATGTGAGAAGAACTTGAAGAAGGTGATCCAAGGAAATATCTGGAAGGGATGTGTTCCAAGAAGAGAGAACAGCTACAGTGAAGGCCGAAGATATGCCTGCTGTGCTTGAGGAACAGCAAGGGGGCCAGCGTAACTTGAAGCGCGAGGCACAGAAACCATGTTGGGTCAGGGTGCAGGTCCCGCCAAGCCCTTCAGGTCATCACAGGGAATTGCCTCACACTCAAGGAAACTGGGGACCCTAGGAAGTTCTGAGCAAGTGGAAGGTGGGAGCTGCCATTGGCAGAAACTGGGAGAGCTGAGGGTGAGAGTGAGGCATGTTTGGGGTAGGAACAGGAGCAATCAGGATTTCAGGTTGGACATGTTGAGTCTGAGCATCTGTGAAACATCCAGATAGAGAGGTTGAGTGGGCAGTTGGGCCTATGAGTAGGAGTTCGGGAGAGGTGGACAGGTTCGAGTTGTTGGCAGATTTTATAGAGATGATGTTTAAGACCACAGAGTGGGATAATCTCACTAAGGGAGAGTGGAGAAGGAGAAAAGAAAAGGAACAAGGCCGGAGCCCTGGGCACTCTGACTGTTATGGGCCGGGGAGAAGAGAGACGAGGAACAACCAGCAAAACAAGCTGACGCGTGACCGGGGACGCAGGAGGAAAACCAAGAGAGTGTTGTCCAAGAAGTCAACGCAGTACAGGAAGGCCGAGGGCTGCCATGATGAACATACAGGAATGCATGTGCAGGGCTAACAGGGTTTGGACATATGAAGAACTCAGCAAGTGATAACTTTTTTTTTTTTTTTTGAGACAGTGTCTTGCTCTGTCCCCAAGCTGGAATGCAGTGATGCGATCACGACTCACTGCAGTCTTCACCTCCTGGGCTCAAGCAATCCTCCTGCTTCAGCCTCCCAAGTAGCTGGGACCACAGGCATGTGCCAACACACCCAACTAATTTTTAAATTTTTTTGTAGTGATGGGAGTCTCACTATGTTGTCCAGGCTGGTCTCAATCCTCCCACTTTGGCCTCCCAAAGTGCTGGGATTACAGGTGTGAGCCACTGTGCCCAGCCATCATTGTTATTTGAATTACTGTATGAGTAGTGTTATGTGAGCACTGCATGAGTGGAGGAAGGTGGAAGGCCTGGCAGAGAAATGAGCTGTTTGCTAATCAGATTATCATGGCTAAGAATCTACAGTCAATCAGAGTCTGATGGAGGGGCATCCTTGCTTAGCTACTCGCAGATTAAAGCAATTCTGCCCTCAGGAAAAGGTCCCAGGTTTAGGGACCGGACCTTTCTGCTCCTTCCAGCCCCCTGCATTCCCCACGGTGGGGAATCTGCAGGCAGGACACAGTTCTGCTGGTGCTCGGTATTGTTCCCCGGTTTGAGCTGTCAGATGATTCCCTGGACCCCTTTTGACCTCTGCCTTTGGCCTGGGGATCAAGTGACGTGTGACTGGAGGCAGGTCTGCGCATCCTCTGAGGTGACAGCTCACTTGAGCTCCCCCTTGTCTCTGCCTGTCACCAGGAGAAAACAGCCCCTGTTGGGTTTTCTAAACACTCATCAGCTTGGGCGGTGACCCAGCCACAGACATTCAGACGGGCGCAGACACCAAGGAGCGGCTGAAGCAAGGGGAGGCAAAGGTTCCAGCAGAGCCTGGGGAGGCGCTCCCAGAAAGTCAGATTCTCCCCTGAGGCCATCTCTGGAGCTTGGCTGCTGTGTGGTTGTCTGCCAGGCTCTGGGGACCCTGCAGTGGGGACTCATGGGCCATTTTTGGGACCCAGACAACTGTAGAGATCATCAGACGGTTTGCTGGCTATCTCACGAGGCTGCGGGCAGTTCGCACATGCCCGTAAGTGCTCAATGTGGGATGCCTGTGAAGCCAGGCATGCACGACTTTCTCTCACTGCCACCCGATCCTTAACCCTGTCAGGCAAAAGCTCCAGCAGGGATGGCGCTCTCTCCTCTCAGCTCTTGTTCCTGGATATATTCACTTGCTATAGGATTTTGTGCTTTTACTGAGATGCTCCTTGAAGCAAGGGAGCTTCACAGTTAAGAGTCTGTGTTTTTAACATGCCTTGGAGGTGATTCTCATGTGCAGCCGGTTTGGGACCTTCAAGTGTACCCAGACCTTCCTGCCTGGGGAAGTGCTGACTGGCAGTGCTGGTGATTGTTCTGTAGACTAAATGAGTCCCCAGATGGGACAGGGAGCGAGGTGGGGTGAAAAAGTGCCAGAAAACCCCTCTGCCCCCAAAGATGCCCTCATCTAACCTGCCAATCCCACCTTCAATCCCACCATGAGGGATCACTCAAGTCTTTGGGGCTGAGTGCTGTCCTCTCCAGAACCTCTTACGAATGCATGGTGGTTCACCCCTGTAATCCCAGCACTTTGGGAGACTGAGTGGGCGGATCACGAGGTCAAGAGACCAAGACTGGCGGGGTGCAGTGGCTCACGCCTGTAATCCCAGCATTTTGGGAGGTCGAGGCGGGCGGATCACGAGGTCAGGAGATCGAGACCATCCTGGCTAACACGATGAAACCCCGTCTCTACTAAAAATTAAAAAAAAAAAAATTAG